ATTATTCTATTTTACTCTATTCATTTGATATACTAATTCTAATAAATATATTACTTGATATTATTTAAAACTAGTAGTTTATAGAGATTTCTAAAAAAAGATATTACTTCTATTTATATATACTACTATATTTATAATAAGGTTTTTTTTAAATAGCTAATATAATTATAGTTTATTTTAATTTGGAAATAAAGTAATTTAATATTATAAATATATTTATTAATATAAAAAGAGATTCTAATAGACCTATAGTAATATATAAGCTATTAGACGATTTCAAGATATTAAGCTATATAATAGAGGTAGATTAAGCTTTATATAGGCTATAAAACTCTTCTATTCTATAGTATAAATACTAGATAAATACTTTTAAAAGAATTAAACTCTCGGAACTTAATAAAAAGCCTTATATTTATATAAATATAAATTATAAAGTCTTTATTATTTTCTATATAAATAACCTTTAAATACTTTATTATAAAAATAATAAAGTATATACTTAATTAATTATTATTTAGATTAAAATAGTTTATAAGCTTTATAATATATAAAATATAGAATAGTTTCTAGAAGTTTATATAATTAGAGATTAGAAAGCTAAAAAGCTCTAATTAGTTTATAATACTTATATTAAAAAAATTACTAAGAAATTTAGAATAATAAATAAAAAGTACTCTAGTATTCTATTATCTAAAATCGACTTTCAGAAATATAATAATTAAGCTTATTTATATTAAGTTAAAATATATTAGAAGAAAGTTAAATTACTATTATATATTATAATTATAATTAGATTAGATATAGCTTTTACTACTTTAGTATTCTTTTAGTTAAATACTTTATAGTTATAGATTAGACTTTCTAATATCTATTTAAAATCTAGTTTCTAGTAATTTAGTATAATAGGAAATATAAAGAAATATAGCTATAGATTATATCTAATACTTTATATATAAATAATTCGAATATATAATAATCGAGTTATAGATATATAATCTTTTTATTTAGAGATTTAATATTATAGAAAGCTATTTAATAGAATTCTATAATTACTTCTTTAACTAAATCAGAAATATATAAAGTTACTTATATAATAAAAGAGATTATAGCTCTTTAAAAGCTATTTAGAAATCTATATTTAGATTTTAGAGAGCTCTAAACTATATTCTATAATAATAAATAAACTATTTAACTAATTATTGAAGAGAATAAAAGAATTACTATAGAGCTTTATTATATTAATATCTAGAATATATAGCTATATTAAAAATATAATAAAAGTATATTTCAAGTTATATATCTTTAAATAAATAGTATATCTATAAATAAATTTATAAAAAATCTATTTCGATTTAAATTCGAGAATTTTAGAACTTTATTAAATCTTTAGAATATTAGAATAAAGATTAAAATAATTAAATAATATAAAAAAAGGTTTTTATTTATATGTTTTATTTATAAAATTCATTAAAATAATAGAGCTTAAAAGCTAATAATAGAAGATTTAAAAGTACTTTATTATAGTATTAATAAGCTTATATAAAAGGCTCTTTATCTAATTAAACTACTTTTTATTTCTATTAATAGCCTCTTAAACTTTAGTAAAAAAGCTCTTATTACTATTCTTTTTATTAGATTTAGTAATCTCAAGTATAATATAAATAGAATATCTAAAAGCAAATAAATACTTTAAAATAGTTAGAATTTATAAAAGAGAATTAAAAAGAGAAAGCTTATAGTATTTTTAGTAATTAGAAGTTCTATAAGAAAGAGCTATATAATAGAGATATAAAAGATTAAAATAGCTAAATAAGAATAACTAGAAATATATTTCTAGTAATAAGAACCTCTATTAATAGTATTATAATAAGAACTATTACTTTTATTCTTTAGAGTAAATAAAACTATATTAAGTTAAAACAAGCTTTAAAATAGTATAGAGAACTTATAATAACTTATATAAGAGATCTTTTTAAGACTAGTATAAATAAAACAAGAAATATAAAGTTTTAATATAGATTTCTTTATTTTTAATAAAGAAATACTAGAAGTATTAGAAGATATTATAGGGATCTAAACCTTAATATTCTATTAAAAGTAAGCTTTATATTAATAGTTAAAAGCTATATTTATAGTAGACTTATAAGCTATTTAATACTATTTAAAGTTAGTAAAAGATAAAGTAAGAATATATTTTAGGTTAAAAATATCTTGGATTTATAAGCCGGAATTAATTTAATAGTAGTATAAGAAAAGATAGAAACTATATTTGTAATAATTAGAAGTCTAGGAAAGAATCTCTAGAAAAGTATTAAAGAAAAGTATTTAATTAGAGGTTCTAAAGTTAGTAAAAAGAGAGGGTTTATATAGAGCTTTTCTAAAATTCAGTAATCTAGAGAAATAATATATACTAAGTTTATTCGAATTAGAATATTAATATAGCTCTATAAAACCTATATATTAAACAAATTTCGCTATTTCAAAGCTCTCTAATTAGATAGAACAGGTAAAATATAGTATTATATCTTTCTGGGAAATGTATTATAGTAAGAATTACTGAATTAAAGCTAGTATAATTACTTTATTTAATTAGAATCTATATATTTACTTTCTAAAGCTTTATATTTTACTTAAGCTCTTTTCTAGCTAGTTTAATTAACTCTTTTACTACTTAATACAACTTTCTATTCTATAATCTTTATATATATTACTTCTTATATTTAACTAATATAAAAGTAAAAATATAATTATATATCCGAATATTTATTTAAAAAGTCTAGTAAAGCGAATTATTATTTATAAAGAGATAAAAGAAATATAGAAGAGGCTTATAAATTAAAAGAAAAATATTACTTTTCTTATAATAGGCCTTAAAGTAATTATTTATATAACTAAAATAAAGAACTCTATAAGCTATATAGTAACCTATAAACAGACTAGTTATATATATAAAAACTAGCCAGAAATATAAGAGAAGCTAGAAAGCTATATAATAAATAAATTTATAGAAGAATTCTTTAAAATATTAACTAGAGCTATAATAGATAGTTAATAGATTTATTACTAGTATTATAGGACTAGCTTATTTATAGAGACGTCTATAATTAACTATTATTATTATTAGAAAATAGAGAAAGTATTAGAACTAAGTTCTTATAAAATAGAATATTACTAGATATAATTAGTAGTATTTCAGGCCTATTAACTAGTTAGTTAAATTAAGAAAAGAGAAGAATATAAAATTAATAGTAAGAGTAAGTTTTATATAACTTAGCCTATTCTATAATAAAGTTAGAAGCAGGCTAGTTCTATTTATAGAAAATATAAAAGCAAGAAGAATCTATAGTAATAAGAGAAAGAAAAAAGAAAAGTAATATAAGGCTAGAATTTTTTTTTCTTAGTACTTTCTATAGAATTACTAGCTTTAGATTTCTTTCCGAACTTTAAAAAATTATAGTAAAAGTCTTTTATATTTCAGAACTACTAAAATATAAAAAAAGATATTCGAGTATTTTCTTTATTATTTCAAGTTTAGCTCTAAGGATTTAGATATAATTATATTCTAATATATAATTTCTTAGAAAAGAAAGATTCTAGTATTTCTTATATAACTCGTTTTTTTAAAAGTTCTAAAAGCTAATTACTTAAAGTAATTCAAATATAGAATAATATAAAAAAGAATACAGATTTTATAAAAGGCTTATTTTTATATTAGTAATAGAGCTTAATAAAGAATAGCTATTTTCTATAATAGGTTCTCTTTTATTTTAAGTTACCTAAATACTTAGTTTATAAGTCTAGATCTATTATAGATATAGTATATAAAAGATTTTAAGAAGTAAAAAAAGAAAATAAATAAATAAATAGAGATATTATTAAATACTAGTATAAACAAAACTATTTAAGCTACTCAAGCTATTCTAGAATAGTCTTAAATAAAATAGAGTAAAGTTTAAATAATATAATATAGTATTTAAGTAAAATAAAATAAAGTACTATTTTAGAATAATTTAAAAGTAGTTATATATAAGTTATATAAATATAATAAATTAATATTTATTTAATTATTAATAAATAAATAAGGTATCTATTAAATAATACTATATAATTTAAGCTAGAGCTTATATAAGGCTATTTAAATACTACTTTTCTTTTATAAAAAACAGATTTCTCTTTTCGGAATCTTTCTTTTCCTTCTTTTTTCTTTTTCTTTTTACTTTTTATTTTTCTTTAAATAATCTCTAGCTTTTTAAATAAGATATTATCTTAATAGTATTCTTATTAAGTCTATTATATAATTTAGATAATAAGAGTACCTTAAAAGAAGAGTTTACTTTTAATAGCCGAGAAAGCCTATAAATATATTAAGGTTCTACCTTACTTACTAAGACTTGCTACTACTTGATTGGGTAGTATAGTAGCGCTAGACTCGGGCCACTCCGGAGCCTTACCTAATTAGGCTAGCGTATTACTTGTAATATCACGTGTGTAATCACGTGCACACTACTCAACTACTCTAGAATATTCTAGAGTAGTTAAGTAGAGTATTGAGTAGAGTATGAGTAGTGAGAAATTTATTTGAGTAGAATATGAGTAGGGCCCACTACTCTACTCTACTCTACTCATTTCTCACACTGTCAAACATCAAGCCACAACAGCAGCCGTCCGTCTTTGAAGCATTGGGGCCTTGCTCTGAGCTTTCGGGGCGACTCAATAGGCACGAGGAGGTGTTTTGGCGGGTTGGGGTAGAATGGGACAACATTACATCTCGTCTGTTTTCCAAAGGCAGGCCTGAACGGCCCCAGTCCCCTGGAGGTAGATACGATAGCCCTTCCCTATGGGCGATCAGCATGCCCAACTGGAAAAGTTCTGGATTCTTGTTGGCATCAAACTGATCCGGATGGAAGACGATCGCGCAGAGGATTTTCAAACGGCTACGCAGAATATCTTCCAAATGGTCTGCCGATGATGAATCCAGCTCCTTTGACCTCCTGAGGCACGGAACTTCAATAAGCAAATTGACAATTGCAAAAATGACTAATCGTGCGTCAAGACTTGCACTAAAGCCCCTGCGTCCCTGCGGGGTAAACCTGCAGGGTGGCTGGTTTAGTGCGAGCGTCGCCGCACGATTATATCCTTCGGTCGACCTGGCTTATGCGCCAAGTCACAAAATTTGAGGGTCGAAAGGCATACATCCCTGTATTGAAGTTCCTGGAAAGCTAGAAAGCTTCGGAGTTCGGGAGCGAGATACAGCAGAACCGCTCTCCACTGAAAGGATTGGCTAATATAAAAATATTTGCCAAACATTTTCGAAAAGCCTCCGAGTTCGTTTGGTTCAAGATCGTCCATTAGGAGGAGTAAGTGGGTGTACTTGCGCCTATAGGCATGTGAACCCTTTTCCAAGTCAAAGCTTTCTATTCTCTTCGCCGAAAGAGTTGTGTCTGAGGGAAGATTAAAGATTTTGAAGTCGGTCAATTTTGTCGCAACATCACACATCCACATGAAGCTAGTTGAATGGCAAGATTCCGCCCTCCATTTTTTGCAAGTGTCATCCCACCACTGTCTGCAAGTGTCGCAAGGACGTTGACCAGAACACTACCAATAATATTAGCAGCCGCTAGTAAGAATTCTGTCGAAAGTGCAAGAGGAATTACCCGCTTCTTGATCATGCGGCAGAGAAAACAAGCACCGCCGGCTTTCTCCACGTCATTCTTGTTCTTCTTCTGAGCGCTTGTGCGACTGCGTTTAGGCGTAGGGTCTGAGTCGGCACAGAATTCGCTGAGCAAGAATCCAGGGACACCCTTGCTCTTTGAAACTTGTTGGCGAAAGGCAGACAGCTGTTGCTCCTGGGCCGATTCGGGTGATCGTGGTCTCGTGCGGGTAGCCTTACCAGTCATTTGATCCTGACTAGGCGACTCTTGTTGGAAGGAGGAGGAAGTTGAGATATATTGGGTTGAATTTGGAGGCTGTCTGTACGGGATCACTTGCAATACCGACTGCATTGGCGTCTGGCACAATCCAGGAGTTGGAATTACTTGTTGCATACCGAATTGATCACTGCCGATTCCAGAATGTGACGTTTGCGGAAGAGTGCTGCTCCAGAGGTTGGGGAAATATAATGAAGGGTCCCCGTGACTCATACTCAAATCGTCATAATCACCAGAGGAAGGAGGGTCCATGGCATGAGCGTCCAAGCCAGTGAACAACGGATCATAAAGTTGGCCCATGAAATCGGTCTCACCTTGGACTATATCTGAAGACTATAATTGAAGCATGCATTAGCAATTCTTGCAAAGTCTAATATTTCGAAAGGTGGCTCACGTAAGAAATCCCCCATATTTATTAGTATTGTCGGAGGTTGGACCCTGATCGATCGTTGAGACTCTGCATTCACTGCATGCGTGGGAAAAAGGGTCGACTTGAGCGCCAGGACAATTCGACCGCTGGTCTTCCTGCGGCGGCCGGGGCTTCTGAATCAGTTGGCGTCTCTTAAGGAGTTCCATGCGTCTGAGCTTGAGCTCTACTCCTTCGAGTCCATCTTCGACTTCTCTTAACTGCTCAGCCTGCTGTTCTTGCTGCGGCAGCTTGCGTAGTTCTCGACGTCTCTCCTGGAGATCAATGCGTTTAAGCTCAAAACGGATTTCATCCTCCTCGAGCTCACGATTAGCTTTTTCAGATTCGTCATGTGACGTGTCTCGTCCTGGTACTGGCTCTATTTGTCGGGCGATCCCTGTTTCTTGTTCTTCGAACTGCGACATGTCTAGCAAATAATCAAAAGCCCCATCCACTAAGGTGGATTGGTTCTCCTGGGATGGAGCTGCTGCGCTCCCCAGTTGTGTATTAAGCTCGAAGCTCGCCGCAAAATTGGAAGATCCGGATGCCAGCAACCCAGAGTCAGGAAGCTCCGTGAAGTCCGGGTAGTCCTCTGGGTTATAGGCATTGTGGAAGAAGCTCTCCTCCGTGCTCCAGTCGACAGCGTTGTGTTGCGAGCTAGCCATGACGGGATGAGGCTGGGGAAATAGAGAAGGTAGTTCGGCGTATGAGAGGCACTGAGGAACAAGATATAGTGAAGTCAACCCTCCAAGAAGAGGTCAAAGATATAGCAACTAATTTTTTTTTTTTTTTTGCTTAATGAAGAAAAATGGAAGGCCTCTGCAATGCAAACACGAGTGAAATGCCCAGGCTGACAAGCACGTGAACTGCGCCAAGACCCTTCCGCAACCCTAAAACGGACTAGCTAAGTGGCTTCCGCAGTCCAAATACAGAATAGCGTCCTTTGTCTAAACAGCCTCACAGAGCTACATTGAGGTATCGGAAGCGTCGATGAAGTTGTAAGTCAAAGCAAAGGAGGTATATAAAAAGGTGAGTGTTCTCTGGCTTGCACTGAAGGTAAGTCATCAACAGTGCACAGAAGCCCATTATGAACGCACCTCAAGCCCTGATCCTTGGTCGAGACAAGAAATCCTCTCACTGCTTCAGCTGCTTACGACAATTATTATATGTATTATTGGCTACATTTGGAGCTGGGTCATTGAATGCTGTAAGTGGACCCTATGGCTTGATAGAATTTCCCTTCAATAATCTTGCGCCATGCTAACACACCCTCAGTGCATCGTTTTGGGCAGTCTGCTGGCTCGACAGAATAAGAGCTGCTTCGCGTAAAGCTAACGCTGCAGGTTGTATGGTGCCGTGGTAAGTACTCCATTCCTTTTGCAAGATTGTGCTCTATTGGCTGGACCCGAGAAAAGCGATTGGCAATGATGTTGAAGGGATAATGGATTTGATGACTCTTTGGTGCAGAGGAGCAGACACAGGATTATGGGAAATGGAAATTTGTGAAGCATGAAGGATATTGAGTTAGTGATTGGAGTTGCGATATTGAACTACTATACGGGTCTAATATAAAGATGCACGGAGTTGTGCAAATAGTGAGACGAAAACTGGTATTAATAATTTTTTTTTAAATACATATTAATTTATTGAATTCTTTATTAAATTCTCTATAAATTTATAAGGGCTATTTTTAGAAATTCTAATATTTCTTTATTTAATAAAATATTATTATATTAGTAATTATATATAAATATTCTTAATTTAAATTATATTTTAATTAAATTAGAGATATTTATATATAGCTACTAATAGAGTAATAATTTATTAAATAAAATAAAAGAAGTATTAAAGGCATATATATCTTCTCTATTATAAACTTATATAATAAGGCTATTCTTGCTATAATAGCAGAAATAGAGTAGTAGAATAAAGCTCAAAGGTTAATAATTCCTATATCTTAAGAATTTAAAGCTAAGGAAGAAATGAGTAAGGTGTGGTAGTAGATAAGTAGATATAACCAAAACTACTAAAATGCCGAGTTTTGAAAGCAAGCTTGGTTTGAACTATAGCTTGAAACCTTAGCTAAAACTAATTTCTTTAACTAAAACTAATTATCTAATACTAGCTATTATAAGTATTAATTAGAGAAACTAATAGTTTATTAATATTATAATTATATTACTATTTATATTATAGGCTTTAGATTTATAAATTACTATATATTATTAAAGGCTTTTATTTAGAAAAGACTTTTTTAAACTTTGTAAGAGAAATAGTAATTAGTTTTATACTAAATTTAATATTATAGTTTTATAATTTACTAATTTATTCTATTATATTATTATTTATTAATAAATATCTTATATTCTTATAATATAGAAATTCTTGTAATTCTATATTATATTTAATTATTAATAGTTAGACTTAATATTATAACTAAAGGGGCTCTATTCTCTAGTTAGAGAAAGCAAGTTAGCCTATAAAAGTAAAATGGCTTATACTAAATAAAATCTATAATAACTTGAAACTTTAATCTTTTTAAATAATTCTAAGTAGTAGAATTAAAAATATAAGCTTTATAAACTAGATATAATTCTCTAAATCTTAAAAAAAGATATGGGTAGAGAGTTATTAAGATTTTAATAATAAAATTACGAGAAATATAAAAATTATAAGAATTATTTATTTATAACTATTTTATAAATACTAGATCTATAACTTTTACTTAATTATAAATTTTTATTTCTTTACTTAAAACTTTAGTTCTTAAGTATATAATAGGTAACTATAAGATCGCAAATAAAACATATTAATTAGATTTTCTATAGCTAGTTCCTAATATTACTTTTTAGAGGACAAAAAAGGCCGAAACAGGCCATCTCGCTTTTGCGGGCCAACTCGCTTTCCCCGACTAAAGGGTGGGGCCCCTTTAGTCGCAACGTTAAGTCCAACTATTAAGAGAATTCTATAAAAGTTAGATTTGCTTCTTTTAAATCTCACAAAGCTATTTTAAAGAGTTTAGATATTGCATTGAGATTCGGTATGATTTTTTAAATAATAGCGATTTTGGTGTTCCTCGCCTTTTAGCAGATGGGCGGTTTTTTTAATAATGCCGCGCCGGTTTCGTATTGCGAGGGTCAAGATTGCGGGCCCGTCCTCGCTTAGGATATTGGGCGAACTGCAATGCTGCTCGCCTTTGTAGATGACGCGAGTGCGAGCCGAATTTAACCCCACAGCCATCTGGACGCCAATCGCACGCACTGCATCGATCAGGCCTGGGTCTGCGTCATCGCCTCCTCGGCACAAACGTCGGCTAGCGCACGTTGAGTGGTCAACGGCGCAGATCCCAGCACAGGGGCAGAGCAATTTCCGGAGCATGTGCCATCTGTCGTGCTGCGTTCCTCGAAGTTCAAAGAAAGGAGAGCAGCTTAACTGGCGCCGCGACTTGAGATTCTTGAGGAGGGAGAAGAAGAAGAAGAAGAAGAAGAAGGAGAAGAGGATTGAAGAACCCAGGCACGATGGTTCCGAGACGGTTTATGCTTATTACGGCGGGGTTTCTGCTGACTACGTTTGTGGTGTATCAATTCTTACCAGTAAGCCTACTTTCGTCCCATTTGCTATTTACCTGTTGAGAGGGGCGGGCAACCCTGGGATATTCAAGAGACGTCGGCTTGTCGGTTTTTATAACTTGGAGCAAGACAGCCTTGAAGCTGTCAGCTCCTTCCGACTTTTCTAGACTTGACAGTGCTGACAGTGCTAATCTGCGCGCAGTGGACACCCCTCTCCTCCATCAACTTCGACAACGGCAAAGCTCTCCTCTCAAGCACGACCTCCTCCCTCTCCCACTGGAAAAATCCCGGCACCCACTCCGCCCAAATCCAGCTCTTCTTCGACCAAGTCTTCTCCGTCTCACAGCCCTCCCCATACTCCTTCCCCGCACTCGCCCAATCCTGCTCGCAAGCGCCATGGTCGTCCCACCCCTCCGAAGAAATATACCTCAAATGCGGCGGCATGGCGGCAGGCCTCACATCCATCGTCTCGCAGGTTAAAGTCTGTCTAAAAATGGCCGTGGACACCGGCTCCAACCTGGTGCTGCCCGCCATGCCACTGAGAGATTCCACCGATCTGACGGACTTCAATTTCTTCAACGAAGCCGCGTACATGACGTACGACAAGTGGTTCGATCTCGAGCATCTGCGCGCGGGGATGCGCAAGGCGTGTCCGAAGATGAAGGTCATACACCCGGACGAGCTGGACACGACGGTGTCGGTGAAGCACACGTGGAACGTGGAGATCGGGGACGCGCCGGGGTACCACTTCCCAGATAGCTATTTCTGGGTCGGGCGGCCATTTAGGACGTTCTTCGAAGAGCAGTTTGCGAAGCGGAAGGCGGAGTTCGAGGCTTCTACTGGGGGCAAAGATAATGGGAAGGAGGGCATAACACTCGTTACAATCGGGTCTCCGTTCCTGCTTTTCCGCATCACGGAGGATCCGACGAGACAAGATTTGGCCCTGTGGAATGACCTCGCGCTGCTCGTGCGCTTCAAAGAGGAACCGAGGCAGATTATCGATAGGTTGTTGGGGCATATGGAACGCCCGTTCTACGGCGTACATTTCCGTGTCGAGAAGGATAACATCTGGTCCCCGCTCGACGTGCAACTCGCCGCCGACCTGGACTCGCTCGATCGCGCATGGGCGAAATTCGGTACTCCTGGCGCACAAAAACCGCTCGTTTACCTTGCCTGTGGCGATCCAGAACAGGTCAAGATTTTCGAGACAGCAGGGAAAGAAAGAGGTTGGGAAGTGACGCATAAGTGGAAGGTGGCGGAGGGCAATGAGGAGACCTTGGGCATGATTAAGGATCTGCCATTTGACTTTCAAGGGGCAGTGGATTTTGGGGTTATGGTGAGAAGTGAATTTTATATTGGGATTACGGGGAGTGCGTTCTCGAGTACGGTGGCGAATGCGAGGGATACGACGGGGCGGTATAGGGGGAGCTCGTTTGATGTTTTTGAGGATGAGGGGGCGAGGAGTCATTTGAATACTGATGGGGCTGCGAGCAATTATCCTTGTTGTTTGTAGGGAAATGGGTTTGCATTTTTGGGGCGGGGGGTTTGGGTCGGTGGCGTTTATAATGGCTGGGCCTTGGATAAAAGCTTTTAGATAACAGAAAGTAATCCAAAGCATATCTGTTCCGGCTTGGGAAAGCTTGCAAGTGTTTATTGGATTTCCTCAATTGTTTACTATAGACGGAAGTCCTTAAGCTCGAAGTTTCGCAATCTCAACTGCTTTATTACCTTTCTATCTATTATTCTATAAATATAATATAGTCTAATAAGCTTATATTAATCCTCGTATAATAATAAGACCAGTATATTAAAGATTAATTATATTAATTAAATTAATTAATTAATATAATTAGATTATAATTAATATAATTAGATTATAATTAATATAATTAGATTATAATTAATATAATTAGATTATAATTAATATAATTAGATTATAATTAATATAATTCGGATTTTTTTTAATTAGATTAGAATAATTAATTAGAATAATTATTATTAGTATAGCTATTCCTTTGGAAGTTACATATATAGTTACGGGATACGGGATACGGGATACGAGATATAGGTAATAGAATATAGGTAATAGGATATAGGATAAAGAATATAGTTATATAACTTTATATTCTATTAGTAACTCGACTAGTAGACTAGATTTCTTTAGGCTTAGTAGATTTAGGGATTATATATTAATACTATAATACTATAATCCTTATTTCTGGATAATAATAACTTTACTAACCTTATATAAATAATATTCTATAACTTATATAATAGTACTATATATTACTAGTAAACTAATATTAATTAGTTAGTATTTATAAGATCTGGGCCGCTTCACTAAAATTAAAGCCTGGCAGCCCTATATAAGCTTCGGGGCTAGTCTTTAATTTTGCCCTAATCTCGATTCGAGATTAATTAGATACTTTAGGTACTTATTTAAGGGATATTAGCTTTACTAACTTTAAATTTACTTTGAAAATTCACTTTTTGAAAGCTAAAATTTTTCCAGATAAGCTAAATAAGATAGGTTTTAATTTCGAATTCCAAAGCTTCTTTCCTTTAATAAATACTTTTATATATATACTTATATAAGTTAATTCCTATATCCGCTATAGGCCTGCCTCTGGCCTGTAATACTTCTTATAGTCTATAGAATATCTTCTCTACTATCTGCTACTACTGCTGCTACTACTACTATTACTACTACTATAGTAGTAAACTTTGCTACTGGCCTGCTGCCGCCGCCGCTGCCCGCCCCTTCTGCCCTGCCCGCTCTTCTGCCCTGCCTTATCCGTACTATAGCCTCTCTCTCCCTTCTTGCCGCCTGCCGTATACCTATCTTATAGTCCGGCCGTACTACTAATCCCGTCCGGCCTGCTAACCTGGAGGCTGAGCTTAGCTAATTTATTAGCCAAGTTTATCCTGCCGGATATATATATTATACTAGTAGGTCGGATATATAAATAGTATATATAGTTATAGCTAGTATTTTTAGTAGAAGCTATACTAACTATTATTATAGTAGTAAGAGTATCTGCTACTTCTTCTATAAGTACTTTTATATAATATTTTATAGACTATAACTAATTTAACAGATACTTCTAGGTACTACTACTACTATTACTACTACTACTACTATTACTACTACTATTACTACTATTACTACTTCTACTAGCCCTGCCTCTACTAACCCTTCCTTACTTCTCCGGATTATTACTGGTAATTATATAGTTAACTGGGCCGCTTCCGGTAACTTATCTTTATATATATATATTTGCTATAGATTACTATAGACTATAACTAATATATAAATAGCCTGCTATACTACTACTGCCTACTACTACTATTTACTTATTTCCTTTTAGAAAGTATACTATTTTACTAAGCTTTATAGGGAGCTAGTAGCTTTTTATAAAGAAGAGGCAAAAATACTAGAAGAAAATAAAGAGACGGATTATTTAATACCAGAAATAGAAAGTAAGAAATTATAAATTCTATAAAGAGTTATCTGAAAAAGATATATATTTTTAATATCTAATAGTATAGTATTCTCGGTTTATTTAAACTCTAAAATATTCGAAATAATAATTATAAATTACTTATAAATAAATATAGATAATTACAGATTCTCAAATTCCTTAATCCAACCTATAAGGTTACCCGGTATTTATAAGGCATTTATAAAAGATAAAGTACTAAAGTAAATTAGCTAAGACCTTAGAATAAGTTATATTAAATATTCTAGATAGGTTCTTATATAGTAGAAAGATATTTAAGCCTTTTATAGATAATATACAGGAAATTTCTATATAAAACTACCTATAAGTAAATATAGGTATTTATAAGTTTAAACTAATAGTATAAAAGAATTAATCTTATAATTTATTAATAGTTATTATAAAGTATAAATAGACCGGAAACTACTTCCGGAAAAAAGTAATTTCTAAGCTAATATCTATAACAGATAGCTTAATCTATAAAATTACTTATAACTAGCTATTAAAATTCCTTTTAAGTAAGTAGATCTCAATATAATATACTTATAAGCTTATAACTATTATCTGAATTCTATTATATAAATCTTCTTATAAATATAAGTTCTATAAAAGTAATACCGGAGCCCTAATTTTAAGAATAAACTAAGATAATAGTAAGAAAAAGAGATTAATATTTTATAGCTATTTTATAAATAGCTTATATAAGTTATTACCTAAAGACTTATTTATATTTAAGAAATTTACTAATTAGTATATCTATAATTAATCTAGTAAATATTTAAAAATATAGGTATTAAGTTCCGAAACTATAGTATTTAATATAGTTAAGAGATATTATCTATAGAAAATTAATAGATCTATAATAGTTTAAAAGAGAAGATCTAGAGAATAAATATAGCTAATTAGATCTATAATTAATACTAGCTAGTTTATATAGTCCGAAATTATTACTATTCTATTAGAATCTAAGTTATTAGATAATTTACTAATCTAATAAATAAATTCCTAACTATTCTTGCCTTTATAGACTTATATATTAGTCTATAAATAGAGCTACTTAAACTATAGCTAAATAAATAATTATTAAAAATATATAATAATAATATCTACCTATAAACTATATAGTATAACTAGAAAGATCTAAATAAAGTCTTTACTAAAAATTATAGATATCTCTCTAAAAAGAATATTATTTACTATAGATTATAAATCTATTAAAAGCCGGTAAATAACTTTAAAATAGTACTTATATTATATTAATATTTTATTTCAGATAATAAGATCTATAAACCGGAAGATCTATCTAAAGATATTTTATTTTATAATAGAACTTATAAATAATTTATAAAGTTTAATTAGAATTTTAAACTAGAAGTAAAATATATATCTATTTAGTAGTAAAAGAGCTATAATATTTATAGATACTATATAAAAAACTATTTGCTTTTACCTATAAAAATAATAATAAAATACTTTATATAAGAATATCTTATTTATATTTCCTGACTTTTATAAATAGAAGTAAGCTATTTATAGATCTGATTTAATAGCTATAATAATTTCTATAAAATATAATTACTAATTAGAATTAAGCTAGACTTATATTATAACTATAAATAATATCTAGTTCTTAAAAATATATAATACAGATAAGAAATAGTATTTACTAGTCTAATTTCAGATAAAAAACAAAAGCCTATAATTTGTAAATAACTATTACTAGTTCGTAAGCCTATATATAAATAAAAAGAGGCTATAATTATAATATAGGTTAAAAAGCAGAAGTAGGAAACTACTATTATAAATAAGCTAATACTAGAAATTATTATAAAAATAATACTTATATTAGTTCTAGATTACTAATAGATCTGTAATTAGCTACTAGTAAAGGCTAATTAAGAATAATATTTATAAATTATCTATAAATATAAATAGAATAGCCTTATTAAAATACTAGTACTATTTCTAGTTATTTTCTATTAAGCTATAAGTAATACAGGTAGTCTAGTATATTAGATAATAGATATCTTTAACTAAATATAGATTTATAAAGAACTATAAGCTATAAATAACTATAAATAAGAGCTATAAGTAATACTACTTACCCGAAATAGAGTTATAGTAATATATATAGCTAATCTAGTTATTATTACTTTACTAATAGTACTTCTATATATAAGTCTTTAGAACCTATATAAAGTAGACTAGAAACTCTAAATATAAATACTACTAGCTATTTTTATATATAGTATTATATTTAAAGAAAGCTATTAAAATTAAATAGATATTTATAGTTTTTATAATTAGGGTTATAAAAGAGATATTATCCGAAAAATAGACTATTTATTTTCTTTTAAGATAAACTATAAAATACTAAATAAAAGAGAATTCCTATATATAGGAAATTCAAATAGCTACTAAATAGCCTTATATAGACTTATATAATAAATATATATATATCGGGTAATCTTATTATTTATAGCTATAATTATAACTATTATATAATCTACTTTTTTATATATATATTTATAAATATATTTAATTACTTAAATCGAGATATATACTTTTATATTAATATATAAATAGAACTTCTAAAAAAATACAGGTTATATAAAATAATTTAGTAATTATTACAAATAATTTACTAGTCTCAAATACCGGATTTATAAACTATAAATATCTATCTATTATTCTAGAAATAGTATTTAAGATAACTATTCTTATAGATTATAGTATAGTTTATAAAAGCCTTTAGGAATCTTTTAGGATATACTAATAAACTATAAGCTTTTTTATAGACTATATATAAGGCTTATATATAATTCTCTCTATATAAATTATAAGATATATTACCTATAACTAAGGCTAGAAACTTGCTTATAGAATTCTATAATAGATCTAATAGTTTAATATATATAATCTTATTTATATATTTAGATATATTAAACTTTATAAATACTTATAAAAATAAATATAAATATAAATATAAAAGCCTTTATTTCTAGTACTCGATTATATAAATATAGCTTATATATAGTCTAAAAAAACTATTTTTAAAATCTGTAAAAAGCTCTTAAATCTTAAATCAAAATATATAAGTAATTAGATCTGGCTAGTCTATAGGTTATAAGCTATATAGCTTCTAGATAATCTCTAGCTATTATAGATTAGCTATAAAAATAATAAAAAAGATAAGCTTTCTAAAATAATAAATAATAGCTATTAAATCTTA